AACATTCAATGCTGCTTTAAATAGACAATACACAGAGAGAACAGAAGGAGGTGGTTTTGTTTCGACTCAGTGTCCAGCTCTTTTTGGTGCCATGGAAGGTTGGGCTCGAGTCCAGGGGTTGCTGTTGCTCTATCCTCTATGACAAAGAGCCGTCAGGACTTCCTCCTTCCTTTTAGTCGCCCCACATTTTCTGATCTTTTTTCTTTGTGGCATCATAAAACACCTCCCCAGCTTTTCCTAATCACAGCTAAAGCTGTTTTCGAATTGCTTAGGTAAACAATGAGCTAGGCTGACAGTTGGCAGCTCACACCAACCCGGGGCTTCGAACTTACAACCTTTTGGTTGATAGATCTTATAATTGCTGGTGATTTACCAGCTGTGCTAAACCTCTGCCTCAAATGTTCTAAATTCTGCCTACTCCCTAATATGACCACCTCTGAGACAGTTCAGTGAGGAAAGGGGACCTTGACAGTAGGCATACCCTTCAGAGGCAGAGCCCCAATGCCACATCACCTTTCATCAGGGCCAAGTCTTAACTCTGTTTCGAAATGATAAAAGGGAGGGGGCCGATCTGATATCCTTAGGGATCGCTTTCCATTGCCAAGGGGCCACCACTGAGAAGGCCCTGTCTCTCATCCCCGCCAGCCGTACTTGTGACGAAGGTGGGACCGAGAGCAGGGCTAGAAACCACAAATCCCTCTGAGCAGGGCCCTCAAAAGCTGTGTCTGTTTAGCCTGCAGAAGAGAGAAGGTTGAGAGGAGACGTGATCACTATGTTTAAACATTTGAAAGGATATCACAAGGAAGAAGGAGAAGCCTGTTTTCTGCCGCCCTGGAAACCAGGACTCAATAGAACCACGAGTTAAAATGTCAGGAAAGGCGATTCCACCTGAACGTTTGGAAGAACTTTTGACCACAAGAAGAGCTGCTCAACATTGGAACTCACTGCCTCGGAGTGTGATGGAGTCTCCTTCTTGGAGGCTTTGAAGCAGAGGCTGGATGGACATCTACTGGGGGTGCTCTGATTGTGCTTTTAATACAGTTCCTCATGTTGTGGTGACCCCAACCATAACATTATTTTTGTTGCTGCTTCATAACTGTAATTTTTTGTTATGAATCGTAATGTAAATATCTGATATGCAGGATGTATTTTCATTCACTGGACCAAATTTGGCACAAATACCCAATACACCCAAATTTGAATACTGGTAGGGTTGGGGGGCATTGATTTTGTCATTTGGGAGTTGTAGTTGTTGGGATTTATAGTTCACCTACAATTAAAGAGCATTCTGAACTCCACCAACACTGGAATTGACCCAAACTTGGCACACAGAACTCCCATCACCAACAGAACATACTGGAAGGGTTTGGTGGGCCTTGATCTTGAGTTTTAGAGTTGTAGTTCACCTACATCCAGAGAGCACTGTGGACTCAAACAATGATGGATCTGGACCAAACCCTACACGAATACTCAATATGCTCTAATGTGAACACTGGTGGAGTTTGGGGGAAAATAGAATCTTGACATTTGGGAGTTGTAGTTGCTGGGATTTATAGTTCACCTACAATCAAAGAGCTTTCTGAACTCCAGCAATGATGGAATTGAACCAAACTTGGCACACAGAACTCCCATGACCAACAGAATATACTGGAAGGGTTTGGTGGTCATTGGCCTTGAGTTTGGGAGTTGTAGTTCACCTCCACCCAGAGAGCACTGTGGACTCCAAACAATGATGGATCTGGATCAAACTTGGCACCGATACTCAATATGCCCAAATGTGAACACTGGTGGAGTTTGGAGGAAATAGATCTTGACATTTGGAAGTTGTAGCTGCTGGGATTTATAGTTCACCTACAAACAAAGAGCGTTCTGAACTCCACCAGTGATGGAATTGGCCCAAACTTCCCACACAGAACCCCCATGACCAATAGAAAATACTGTGTTTTCTGGTGGTTTTCGGTGACCCCTCTGACACCCCCTTGCAACCCCACCCCCCAGGGGTCCCGACTCCCAGGTTGGGAATTGTTGCTTTAGTAGGAAACCAGAGAAGGAACCCTCTCTGGGAAAATTTTATCATAATTTCCAGTTAACTGCTCAAGTTGGAATGAATATTCTTTGGGGGAATTTTTGAACATGGTATTTTTATGCCACCATGTGGCAAATGTATGTTCTGCATCTTAGATTTGCTTCCAGTATTCAGATGCACTTTGAGGTTTATTTGAGAAACCAGTTGTACTTTCAGGCTATGTTTTCCAGAACTGCCAAAAGTTAACCATGTGGATGACAGCCAAGTTGAGAAGTGCCTTACTTACTTTACTTAGGAGATCCCTTGTTGTCCGAATAGGATAGTCTTCTAGGGTCAGTATCCTGGCGGTGGGTCCGTAGGTGGCTGTGGAGCCCTATCTTGAGTTTATTGTTGTATTGTTGTCGTTGTTGTTTTGTTGATGTATTTGGGCTCGGCCTCTTGTAAGCCACCGAGTCCTGCGAGAGATGGTAGCGGGGGTTGGTAGCGGGGTATAAATAAAGGTTTATTATTATTATTATTATTATTATTATTATTATTATTATTATTATTATTATTATCATTGGCCTGCATCTTCTCCCGCAGTGAGGGCATCCATTTCCAGACAGAAGGTGGTCTCGGTTGGGGTTGGCTTGACACGTCTTCCTCTTGGCACGTTTCTCTCTTTCGCCCTCCATTTGTGCCTCTTCAAATCCTACAGCACTGATGGTCACAGCTGACCTCCAGCTGGAGCGCTCAAGGGCCAGGGCTTCCCAGTTCTCAGTGTCTATGCCACAGTTTTTAAGGTTGGTTTTGAGCCCATCTTTCAATCTGTTTTCCTGCCCACCAACATTCCATTTTCCATTCTTGAGTTCGGAGTAGAGTAACTGCTTTGGGAGATGGTGGTCGGGCATCCGGACAACGTGGCCTTCAGTCCAGCGGAGTTGATGGGTGCTTTGAATGAGATTTACCTGCTTCTTGGCAGAATGGGGTTGGACTGGAGGGCCCATGAGGTCTCTTCCAACTCTTTGATTCTAGGATTCTATGGTGGAGGAACATCGCTTCAATGCTGGTGGTCTTTGCTTCTTCTTCCAGCATGTTGACATCTGTCCGCCTGTCTTCCCAAGAGATTTGCAGGATTTTCCGGAGGCGGCGCTGATGGGATGAGAAGTGCCTTAGGGTGCAGGGCTGAGTCCTTGGCATGCTTCTGATTCAACTGAAACCGCTGAGAACAACCGTTGCACTTGGCCAGGGCTGCTTCTCTCATAAGTCTGAATTGTGCTGCTACCTTGGAATTGGCTGCAAAAGGCAGAAAACTTTTAGCCACTTAATTTATTATTGCATTTTTACTGACACGGAAGGGGAAAAACCACTCTTATGGGAATTTCTGATTCCTGCCTTTTGGCACGAGGCACCTTGAATTTGGGGAGAGGAGGTTAAAATTACTTCTTTTCTACGAGTGTACAATAAAGAGGAATAAAGCCTTCTCCAAGGTCTTCTCAGGGCCCTTCCACACAATCCCACAATATCTGCTTTGAACTTGGTTATTTATTTATTCATTTATTTATTTACTGTATTTGTATACAGCTATTCTCAGCCAATCGGCGACTCAAGGCGGTTTCCAACAAAACAGTACACATAATGTATTGCTGAAGGCTTTCATGGCCGGAATCACTGGGTTGTTGTAGGTTTTTTCAGGCTACATGGCCATGTTCTAGAGGCATTCTCTCCTGATGTTTCGCCTGCATCTATGGCAAGCATCCTCAGAGGTTGTGAGGATGCTTGCCATAGATGCAGGTGAAACGTCAGGAGAGAATGCCTCTAGAACATGGCCATACAGCTTGAAAAAACCTACAACAACCCAGTACATATAATCTCATAAAACAAGTTAAAACATTAAGACAGTATAAAACAACATCTCCTTATTATCAAGCATCGTCCAGTTCCATCATCAAGTCATTCAATTTCCTATGTCGTGTACTCTGCATTTGTGAACGCTTGCTCAAACAACCATGTTTTAACTTGCCTCCGAAACATTAGTAGGGAGGGAGGCAATCTGATCTCCCTAGGGAGGGTGTTCCATAGCTGAGGGGCCACCACTGGGAAGGCCCTGTCTCTCGTCCCCGCCAGACGTACTTGTGTTGAAGGTGGGTCCGAGAGCAGAGCCTCTCCAGATGATCTCAGAGTCCACACTGACATATATTCCAGTTCAAAGCAGATAATGTGGGATTTTATTCAGCTGTGTGGAAGGGGCCTTAGTGGCTAACTCACAAAATTGCCTACTCCTGCTACCTTCTCATTTGCAAGGCATTTTCTTATTGTGTCAGAAGCAGCTTGGGAGTATACTGCAAGTCACTTCTGGTGTGAGAGAACTGGCCATCTGCAAGGATGTTGCCCAGGGGATGCCCAGATGTATTACCATCCTGTGCGAGGCTTCTCTCATGTCCCTGCAAGGGAAGCTGGGGCTGACAGACGGGACCTCACCCCGCTCCCTGGATTTGAACTGCCGACCTTCAGGTCAGCAATTTAGCCGGTGGACGGGTTTGTTGATGTGTTTTGAAATGTATAATGTAGATTTCACATTGTGTATGTATGTTTAAAAATGCAATGCTATGTGCCGAGTGTAATTCCTGTGTGGAAAGAGTTAACTGAACCATGAAGGGAATTGGCATTCCTAGAGAGGTCATAAATCTTAGTGCAGAGAGCAGTGGATGCAGTGTAGTGCGTCGTACATCATACGTCGCTCTGGAATGCAGGAGGTGTGGACTACTGCTGATAACAACATGTTCTATGTTCGCAATGTAGCTGCCAGATGGAGAGGAAGCAGTTTTAGGATGTGCTTAGCTACTAATGTAAATAGTTGTACAACAAAGTAGGTGATAGCCTAAAGGAGACTGTGATCGAAGTGTTTCCTTGCCTTGCTGTGCGGTGATGCCACTGACAGGGTTTAACCCATTGTGCCACCACAAGGCATGAAGAGTTGACAAGCCACAAACAGTTCCTGGAAGTAAAAGTTTATTAGTTGTGTGCGAAACACACACAAATAATTGGAGTTACAGTGCTTTTTGGGCCCTGAGCATCACATGGCATCTGCCAAAGAAAGAGACTGATGTCATCGACTGCCACTTTGACTGCGTGGCTTGTGTCGCACCTTCACCAAGGAACATTGTTTCCCTTCCAGTTCACAAGGACGCCGTTGTGCTTGTCACCAAGCTTGGAAAGCACACTGATAATCCCCCGTACGCTCTCGTCTACACTCAAGTCGGCCTGCAAAAGACAAGCAGGACAATAATGAGCCACATGCCTTTGTGGAACAAAACAAAGAGAGCGTGGAGGAACCATGCTCAGATGGTGCATGTGTTTAAAAAAGGAATGCACAAAAGAGGCTACGACGGGAATGAGATAAAATATGGATTACGAGATTGGCTTATGATTCTATGTTGAGACGACGCGGATGATTTAGTTTAATTATATGTTTTGTAAACTGTTTTTATATGTTGTACACCACCGTGAGTCGCCCTAAGGGGCTGAGAACGGCGGTCAACAAATGCAATAAATAAATAAATAAATAAATAAATAAATAAAAGCCTACTTCTGACAATCGTTCTTGTCCTCAGGTCCTGGGGAAATGCAGCCCTAGATATTAAACGTTTGGTACCTCCAGCTATAGGAAGGATAATAATATTGAGGATAGTTTTGATGGTGTGGTGAGTGAATTAGAACCAGACATCCTGAGGAGTGAGGTTGAATGGGCCTTAAGAAGCATTGCTAACAACAAGGCAGCAGGAGACGACGGGATCCCAGCTGAACTGTTTAAAATCTTGAAGATGATGCTGTCAAGGTGATGCATGCCATATGCCAGCAAATATGGAAAACACAAGAATGGCCATCAGACTGGAAAAAATCAACTTCTATCCCCATCCCAAAAAAGGGAAATGCTAAAGAATGCTCAAACTTCCATCCAGTGGTCCTTATTTCTCATCATGCCAGGAAGGGAATGCTCAAGATTCTGCAAGGAAGAAGACTCCAGCAAGACATGGAGCGAGAGTGGCCAGATGGACAAGCTGGGTTCAGAAAAGGCAGAGGAAAGAGAGACCAAATGGCCAATATCCGGATGCTGGAGAATGGAGGAAGGCAGCAAGTTTCAGAAAAACTTGTTTCATTGACTATTCTAAAGCCTTTGACTGTGTGGATCATCACAAACTGTGGCAAGTTCTTGGTGGGATGGGCACACCAAGCCCCCTTCCCTCTCTCCTGAGGAATCTGTACAAGGACCAAGGAGCAACAGTCAGAACTGACCACGGAACAACAGACTGGTTCAAGATTGGGAAAGGCGTACGGCAGGTTTGTATCCTCTCACCCAACCTATTCCACTTGTATGCAGAACACATCATGCGATGTGCGGGGCTTGAGGAATGCAAAGCTGGGGTGAAAATGGCTGGAAGAAACATTAACAACCTTAGATATGCAGATGACACCACTCTGATGGCCGAAAGCGAGGAGGAGCTGAGGAGCCTTCTAATCAAGGTGAAAGAAGAAAGCGCAAAAGCCGGGTTGCAGCTAAACATAAAAAAAACCAAGATGATGGCAACAAGAATGATTGACAACTGGGAAATAGAGGGAGAAAACGTGGAGGCCGTGACAGAGTTTGTATTTCTAGGTGCAAAGATGACTTCAGACACAGACTGCAGCCAGGAAATCAGGAGACACTTACTTCTTGGGAGGAGAGCAATGTCCAATCTTGATAAAATAGTGAAGAGTAGAGACATCACACTGGCAAAGAAGATAGTTAAAGCCATGGTATTCCCTGTAGTCACCTCGGATGTGAGAGCTGGACCTTAGGGAAGGCTGAGCAAAGGAAGATCGATGCTTTTGCGCTGTGGTGTTGGAGGAAAGTTCTGAGAGTGCCTTGGACTGCGAGAAGATCCAACCAGTCTCCTCCAGGAAAGAAAGCCCGACTGCTCATTGGAGGGAAGGAGATGAGAGGCAAAGATGAAGTCCTTTGGCCACATCATGAGACGAAAGGAAAGCTTAGAGAAGACAATGATGCTGGGTGAAAAGGAAGGAAAAAGGAAGAGGGGCCAAACAAGGGCAAGATGGATGGATGGGATCCTTGAAGGGACTGGGTTGACCTTGAAGGAGCTGGGGGTGGTGACGGTTGACAGGGAGCTCTGGCCTGGGCTGGTCCATGAGGTCACCAAGAGTCAGAAACAACTGAATGAATGAACAACGACAAAACCTCCAGTAAGAGAATTGTCTGACAGGAGTGAATATAGAGGGGAGCAGGCGTCAACGTCGCTTCTGTGTCCTGGGACTCAGGAATGTCTATGCTTATCTCATCTATCTTCTAAAATAGGCATGGGCAAACGTTGGCTCTCCAGGCGTTTTGGACTCCAACTCCCACCATTCCTAACAGCCTCAGGACCCTTCCTTTCCCCCCTCATCTCCTTAAGAACGCTTTGCAAATGGTGGTGACTCACCTCTTGGGTTCCCATGTCTGTCTTCACCCAGCCAGGATGGACCGCGGTGCACAAAACCCCGTCTCCTGCATAGCTCAGAGAGAGGCACTTTGTCAGCATGTTTAGAGCGGCCTGCAAGAAAGAGGAAAGGAGAACATACCAACTTCAGCCTTATAGAATCACAGAGTTGGAAGAGACCACTCAGGCCACCCAGTCCAGCCCCCTACTATGCAGGAACACCCAACCAGAGCACTCCAGACAGATGGCCACCCAGCCTCTGCTTAAAAACCTCTGGAGGTGGAGACTCCGCCATACTCCAAGGTAGCACAGTCCATTGTCAGATATCTCTTATCATCAAGAGGTTCTAGATAATCTTTAGGTTGATTCTCTTTTCCCGAAGCTTGAATGCACAACTCCATATTTATTTATTGACTAGCGGTCCCCTGCCATGCATTGCTGTGGCCCAGTCTGTGTTTTGTGTGTGTGTATATGTGTGTATATATTTTTGTATATGTGTATATATATTGTGCATGTGTTGTGATGTATTTTTTATTTTTTGGCTTTTTATGTCTCTTCCGCTGTGTTTTCCATCCCCTGCCATGTGTCGCTGTGGCCCGGTCTGTGTATATGTGTTTTGTGTGTGTATATTATAATGTAATTCAATAGAATACTACTACTAATAATAATATATTATAATTATATATTTATATTACTCTTGACTCCCCTTCGGGGTGAGAAGGGCGGCGCATAAGTGTACATAAATAAATAAATGTGCGTGTTTGCATATATATGTTTGTGTGTGTGTGTGCGCGTTGTTTTGCACGTGAGTTGTAGTGTACTTTTATTTTTTGGCTTTTTAAGTCTCTTCCGCTGTATTTTTCAGTGTTTTTCTCATTGGCCTGAGAGGTGTCTTGTGTCCAAATTTGGTGTCAATTCATCCAGTGGTTTTTCTGTTATGCTAATCCCACAAACGAACATTACATTTTTATTTATATAAATTCAAAGCATTTATCTTCCACCCTTCTCACTCCGAAAAGGATTCAGGGCGGAGCACAACATAAATACGGCAAATATTCAATGCCGGAATGAAAACAAACTATAAAGATACACAAACGTTAAAATCAGTTGTTTCACTTTAAAATCAAATTCTTAAAAACCAGTCGTACCAGAGTATCACCTTATGGCACCGTCTCAAAGGTTTGGTCCTACAGCCAAGTTTTTACCATCTTTCAGAAGGACAGGAGGGAGGGGGCTGATCTAATCTCCCCAGGAAGGGAGTTCCATGGCTGAGGGGCTATCACCGAGAAGGCCCTGTCTCTCGTCCCCACCAATCGTGGTGGTGGCGGGACCAAGAGAAGGACCTCCCCGGAGGATCTTAGTTGCTGTGGTGGTTCATAGGGGGAGATGCATTCAGACAGCTAAACTGGGCCAGGGCCGTTTAGGGCTTGATAGGCCAAAGCCAGCACTTTGAATTGTGCCCAGCAACAAACAGGCACCCAGTGGAGCTGGCACAACATGGGAGTTGTGTGCTTCCTGTATGCTGCCCCAGTTGTCCACCTGGCTCCCTCTCGTTGGACTATTTGAAGCTTCCGAACAGTCTTCAAAGGCAACCCCACGTAGAGCGCATTGCAGTAGTCTATCCAGGGTCTAACGAGAGTGAACAGACTGACCTTGGCAAAATGGGAACCTTAGATCATGCTGACTGTTTGGAATTTAGAGTTCGAAGGAGTGTGAGAATAGCTAACAAGAAGGAGGTCAGAGGCCAAAGAAACGCCTTCATATTTTGCAAAGGGTATTAAGCAGGGTGTTTGAGACCAGACCTTTGTCAGAGCAACTTTACGTTAACCAAGAAGCTTGCATTTTGCTTGTCTGGATTGTCTTGCAGTTCCAGGATGGACTACTGCAACACACTCTACATGGGGCTGCCTTTGAAGACTGCTCAGAAGCTTCAGGTCTCAGGACTCAGTCATGTTCTCATGGGATTTTACTTTGCTGGTGCCTTTTTGGATCATGCTTCAAAGTGTTGTTTTGTATTGATCTTTTAGAACATTACTTTTGCTTTTAAGAACTTTTTATCTTTTACTTTTTAAGAAACTATAAAGACCATCAGAAAACACAGTATTTCTGTTGGTCATGAGGTTCTGTGTGGGAAGTTTGGCCAATTCTATCGTTGGGGTTCAGAGTGCTCTTTGAGTGTAGGTTAACTATAAATCCCAGCAACTACAACTCCCAAATGTCAAGGTCGATTTTCCCCAAACTCCACCAGTGTTCACATTTGGGCATATTGAGTATTCATGCCAAGTTTGGTCCAGATCCATCATTGTTTGAGTCCACAGTGTCTTTGGATGTAGGTGAACTACAACTCCCAAACTCAAGGTCAATGCCCACCAAACCCTTCTAGTTTTCTGATGGTCATGGGAGTTCTGTGTGTGCCAAGTTTGGTTCAGTTCCATCACTGGTGGAGTTCAGAATGCTCTTTGATTGTAAGTTAACTATAAATTCCAGCAACTACAACCCCCAAGTGACAAACTCCTCCCAACCCCACCAGTATTCAAATTTGGGCATATTGGGTATTTGGGATTTGAAAATACATCCTGCATATCAGATATTTACATTACAATTCATAGCAGTAGCAAAATTACAGTTATGAAGTAGCAATGAAATGTGATGGTTGGGGGTCACCACAACGTGAGGAACTCTACTAAGGGGTCACGGCATTAGGAAGGTTGAGAAACACTGTTTCAGAACATTACTTTTGCTTTTAAGAACTTTTTATCTTTTACTTTTTAATAAACTATAAAGACTTCTGGCTGTGTGCAGTTTGGTGTTTTCAGCAAGGTGACTCTACTCTGAGGCGCGACAGCAGCTTGGCCATTAGGAGAGTAGAACAAGATGTTCAGGTTCCATGAATGTCTAGACCAGTGTTTCTCAACCTGGGGGTCGGGACCCCTGTGGGGGTCGCGAGGGGGTGTCAAAGGGGTCACCAAAGACCATCAGGAAACATAGTATTTTCTGTTGGTCATAGGGGTTCTGTGTGAGAAGTTTGGTCCAATTCTATCATTGGTGGGGTTCAGAATGCTATTTCATTGTGGGTGAACTATAAATCCCAACAACTACAACTCCCAAATGTCAAGGTCTATTTCCCCCAAACTCCACCAGTGTTCACATTTGGGCATATTGAGCATTTGTGCCATGTTTGGTCCAGATCCATCATTGTTTGAGTCCACAGTGTTCTCTGGGTGTAGGTGAACTACAATTCCAAAAACTCAAGGACAATGTCCACCAGACCCTCCCAGTATTTCTCTTGGCCATGGGAATTCTGTGTGCCAAGTTTGATTAAATTCCATCATTGGTGGAGTTCAGAAGCCTATTTGATTTTAGGTAAACTATAAATCCCAGCAACTCCAACATTCCGAAATGACAAAATCAATCACCCCCATCCCACCAGTATTCAAATTTGGGCATATCGGGTATTTGGGATTTGAAAATACATCCTGCATATCAGATATTTACATTATGATTCATAACAGTAGCAAAATTACAGTTATGAAGTAGCAACAAAAATAATGTTATGTTTGGGGGTCACCACAACATGAGGAACTCTACTAAGGGGTCGCGGCATTAGGAAGGTTGAGAAACACTGTTTTAGAACACTTCTTTTGCTTTTCAGAACTTTTTATCTTTTACTTTTTATTAAACGATAGAGACTTCTGGCTGTGTGCAGTTTGTTGTTTTTAGCGAGGTGACTCTACTCTAAGGTGCAGCAGCAGCTTTGCCATTAGGAAAGCAGGACAAGATGTTCAGGTTCCATGAATGTCTACACAACAGGGAACTCAGCCAGTTCCGAAGGAGCGCTCTCCTGGCAGGAGAAGTGGGTCCTACCTTGCTGCAGCGGTAGGGCACGGCGGGCTTGGTGTAGTTGAGTGGGACTGACTCCATGGAGCCTAAGACGGACGAAATGTTGATGATGGCTGCTTTCCTGCAACTGAGCCCATCCTGACTGCTTTCCTTGGCTGCCTTCTTCAGCAGAGGCAGAAAAGCCTGGAATGGAGAGAGAGAGAGAGAGAGAGAGAAGCCAAGTGAGAAGGAATCCAGGAAGCACTTCTGTTTTCAATCGACATCAATCTAGGTCCGGGCTTTAGCACAGCCGGTTAACTGCCAGCTGCAGAAAATCATAGAATCCTAGAGTTGGAAGAGACCT